CTGGCCTTCAGTTTCAGCAGCGGCTGAATCTGGATGCCAGTTCCGACTTACATACAGATTCAACTTAAGAACAAACCTACAGTCCCTATCTTGTACGTAACCCGGGGACTGCCTGTACACTGAAAAGTGTTGTTGTACCAGTTTTGGATACACATCCTCTATATATCCACAAAATAGATACAGCACAAGCATTAGTGCAGATGGCCTTCAGTTTCAGCAGCGGCTGAATCTGGATGCCAGTTCCGACTTACATACAGATTCAACTTAAGAACAAACCTACAGTCCCTATCTTGTACGTAACCCGGGGACTGCCTGTACACTGAAAAGTGTTGTTGTACCAGTTTTGGATACACATCCTCTATATATCCACAAAATAGATACAGCACAAGCATTAGTGCAGATTTTCACACATTATCCTTCTAGTTTAGATTGACCTTGACCTTGACCTTGCCGAAACTACCTCTGATTTCAGATAAGGCCTAATTTTTTACACGTTCTCTAGTTTTTGGTGCCTCAGTTTATTCATGCTTTGTTTTGGACACCTGGGATCTGATTTTCAAACCAATACTTTTGAACACCAACACTTCTCTTGAAATCAAAGGGAGTACTTCTGAAAATCAGGCTGTTGGCATTTCAAGTTGTAAACCTAAGTCATTTGTGCCAAAGTACTTTGACCTCTGCTGAAATTATTAATTAGAGAATCTGGGAATTGAGGCTCCTGTAAGAATGATTGTCCATACAAAGTAGGACAGGGAACATCTCGTAATTCCACATAAGCAACCAAACACTTTTCAGGTGATTACACTATAATTGAGATGATAATTTAGGGACCACCTGATTTATCCAGTCTGCAAGAAGACTTACATAACCAGTGCTTTAAATAGAAGCTTAGGGTTCCAAGGAAGCCTCCTGGTTAAATTCTAATGTGATGTAAGCAGGGGTGGAAGCATTTTCTTTTTTAAAAGAATGAAAATAGGAGGGTGTAAGGTAAAACAGGGTCCCCATCCTCCTGCTTATGACTCCATTATTGTCAGCACATGGGCCAAGTTTATTCCTGGGGCGAGCAGGCATAACAAATTAATTCCAATGGGAGTTTGGCCTGTTTGTACCAATGCCAGAATTTGGTCCGCAGCATGCCATGCCTGTAACTTATATTCATTTTGTAGCACTAATCTGAAATTGGAATACATCACTATGCTACTAGACCTTTTTTCTAATACGCTGAGAGCCAATCTGTATCTTATATCACCATTTTCACCACTGCTGAATTTGACCCAAACACACTAAATTCAAAAACTAACTCTCATAGGCTAAATGACTAAAAAATCTAAGATTACATCTCTGACTATTTAACTCTTTCTATTTTACGTTTTATTTGGTTTCTATCTGATTATCCTTCTCCTCGGGGCTCTTGGTTCATGCATCTGTCAGTCATCTTTCTCCTTCAGGATTTTTCTGCTAGATGAATTAGGCCCTAAAGAGGAAGGTGAGCACTTATCTATCTTCTATGACAAGGTAGAGGAAGAATGTGTTTCTGAGGGGTTACTCAGTCCAAACACTGTTTATATGATTAAGCAATTAACATAAGGTTGGGGAAATGGTTTGCCTTTACTGAAGAAAATGTCTTGACTACAGAAGATTCAAGAAGGATTTTTTTTGTTTGTTAGTGGACCTCTTCCAGTGGCAGTTGTAACATTTTTTAATTTAATATGAAATATCATGGGATGCCCACTTTCATAGCAAGTTTTACCTCTTCGTCCTTTCATAAGGATTTCTGTCTTGTTATTACTTAAGAATGTCTTCCTACCAAATATTTTTTCCTTCCTACAGATTCTTCTAGTAAAAAAAAGGAGAGGACATTATGGAATAATTTTTATTCTGGTTTCTTGGCAATGGAATCTATATAGTTGAACCTTTACAAGGGGATTCTTAATGCTGTTTAAACAGATTTCCAAGAAGTCTTCTGTTTCCTTATTTTTTGATACTGCTTTAGATAATGTGTACTGTAGTTCACTAGTAGAATTAGACCTAAGGCTTTGAATACAGAAACAGGACAATCTTTGATTTACAGATTTAAAAACAAAATACCATTTTGAGGTTCAGAATCAAAAGGCACAGTTCTTTAGGGTATGAAAGTTGTTTGCTGCAGTTATAGAAATAAACCCTTAAGGATATACTTAAGGAAATCCTTAGGGACAAGTAAAAAAACATGTCACTCTCGAGGGTTCCTTTTCAGCCCATTTTAAAAAACAAAGTTCCCTTCTGGGCTCTACTGCTGATTCTTCAATCTTCAACCTCTATATTTGAATGATTAGAAACTCTCTTATTCCTCATATTGAAAGAGTTTCAGTTGAACTGGGTTTCCAACAGTTGCCGTGCTCAGGAAGACAGGAGCCTGGGAGATCTTCTCTTTAACCTTCACCCACTGACTTGCATATTAAAGACAGTATTGTACAGTCAAGCTGCAAGTTTCTTGCTAAAATTTGTGTTCAAGTTCTATGTCAATTGTACAATTTGCATATTTTTCAAAGACACATTCTGTCAAGGTGATTCTTGGTATTGTTAAGATTTGTACCTTTGAAAGAGATAAAACTTAGTCCTTAGGCAAGATTTTAGCTTTCTCTTCACTGGTGTTATGCTCAACCATATGTGTCACTTGAACATCTGGAGGCATGTCATGTGAATGAATATGAATTGTCACAGTGAAAGAATATGAATGATCACTGGGTCC